CACCCTGGCACTGGCTTAGGCAGGTGCCAGGCAGTGAGGGACAGAGGGGGCTCAGCCACCCCCCAAAACCTTCGTGCCAGCCCTTAGGAAGGTGATTGCAGCAGAAGGGAATCCGAGTGAAGACACTCCCTCTCTGGTCTGGTGGCAGAACACATGTGGACACTCAGGGACCAGGGGCCCCCTCCGCAGGCTGGGCCTGCTCTGGTGGGGTTTCATTCCAGCCTCAGGGAGCCCCTCGCAGGGCCAGTGTGAAGAGACACAGACAAGAGAATGGCTCTCACACAGGAACAAGCCCAGGGGCACGGCCCAGTTTGTACCAGAAGGACAAGGAAAGCAGTAACTGGAACCACGAGGGTTAATCAGAGCCAGCTTCCCAGATGCCGAGGGACGGCCCTGCACCCTGGCCCACAGTGGGCAGCAGAGACCCGCAGACCCCTGTGGGAGGGAGATGTGGCCCCCGGAGCAGAGATGGGAGGGGGTGTTGGGAGGGGGAGAGGGAGTCAAGAAAGAGCCAGCTGGCCTGTCCATCAGTCTGTCTGTCTGCCCACTGGCCACAGGCCTCTCCTTACGCGGGAAGCCACGCTGGACGGACAGGTGAAGCCTTTGGACCAGATCAATCATTGTATTTATTCTAATTGTATCGTAATCGTCCCCAAGGAACCCAGTTCAAATGAGCTTGACATTATTAAAATTTTAATGCCCAGTTTTCATAGCTGAATGAATATTTAAAGGGTATGTCCCAGCTTAAGTTATGATGATGAAGAAATTAATGGAATGTCTTGTTTAATGCATGGGTATGTGTTGATGCAAAAAGTGGCAGAGACGGGGAGAAGAAGGGGAGGTGGGGCCAGGGCAGAGGGGCCTGGGAGGGAAGGAGGCCCTGCCACCCACCACTGGCTGCAGCAGGGAGCAGAGAGGACCCCAGACCTAGGCCAGGACCACTGGCTCCCCCTGAGGGGCCCCCGGGGCTGGAAGCCTGAACACGGTCGATAACAAAGGAAGTTAGTGATGTCCCCAGAGGGCTGACCCCAGAAGCCTGAGGGTGGCTTCAGGGAGCTGTTCCTGACCCAGGGAAGGCGGCCCAGCTCAGGCACCTGGAGGCACAACCGGGGCTGAAGGCCACAGGGGAACATGGGGATGCTGATGACCCAGCCCCGAGGCCCAGGCCCAGGCCCTCCCAGAAGGATAGTACAGTGGCTGAGAGGGACGGGATGGCTGGACAGAGGAGCTGGGACGGGTTAGAGGAAAGGCACCAAGAAATGGGCCCCAGCGCATCCTCGACATTCACCTGCAGGGGATGCCCTGGGGCTCATGTGGCCAAGAGGTCCTGAGGCCACAGTCAAAGTTAGAAGACGGGCAAGGAGATGGCAACTGCCCCTCCCGCCTTCCTACCAGTATCCTCTCTCCCCTGCTTCACAGTTCCTGCCTCACTGTCCATCTCTGCGGCATGGTCTGCCCTCTACTCCCCAGGATGTAAGCATGTCCGGGCGAGGCTAGATGGGGCTGGAGTCTGGAACAGGGAAGAGAAACACGGGCCGAAGGAGGGAGATCTCCCTTCAGGCCCGAGGCATCTGTACAGAGCCTGCTCTACCTAAGAAATCTTCCCAGCTGAGCCTGACACTTTATTTCTGCTGAGAATTAAGAAAGCACGGGATTTCTTTCTCTCCCCATCTATCCTGGCTCCACCCTGACAGCCCGGCAAAGGCTGTACGGACTCTGACCATCCCTAGATAATAATAGGACATGAAATATGACCCCAGGAGCCACAGGTCCATGGGAACCAGGGCAATGCTGCTCCATTGTGGGTGCCCAGGCCATGGCTGAGGGCAGGTGGGAGGCTAGATGAGCCCCTGGGTCCCCACTGCCAGGAGCCCAGTGATGGAGGAGGTCTGGGAGCACCGTCCAGGGCTGGCCTGGTCAGGGAGGGCTTGCTGGGGGCTGGGGGGTGGAACTGAGGGGAATCAGGCCTAAGTCCGTGAGCCTGGGGCACAGCATTCACGAGTGCCCGGGTGTCAAGGACAGCGGGACAGCGGCTGACTGCCTGAGGGTGACATGCCCCAGGGCGGAAGGCTCCACGCACAGGCAGATTCCGTTTGCCTTGTTTAATTTACCACGGAAAATGGGTCCCATTATCACAGAAACAGTTCTACCCCAGCCCTCGTCCGTCCGTAGGACTCACCCCCTCTGCTCTCCAGAGAGAGTTGCTGTGGGACTCAGAAACGAGGTGCCAGGGGAGGCGTCCTCCCAGGGTCCCTGCCCTTCCTCCCAGCATTGCCTCTAAGCATTCGGGCTCGGCCTGGGCCTGCTCTGGCCCCAGGGACGGAGCTTCCTCTGCGGCCTCCTCCTTCCCTTGTCTCCACAGCAGCAGAGCCCAGCTGAGCCTGGTTCACACTCCTCTGCCTGCCCCTCCTCACGCCCCACTCCTTACCGGGGAAGCCTGAATCAGCTCACCACTCACCCCCTTCTCCACACTCTGTTTTGAACTTTCCTGGACCTTTCCTAAGCCTGTCACGTCTGGTTCCCAGAATCTCCCGAACATGTAGTCTGGTGTTAAGAGTCCTGGGTTCATCTTGATCACCGTTTACCACCTGTGTGACCTCAAGCTAGTTTCTTAACCTCTCTGAAACTCCATTTCCTTGGTTAAAGATTATCTATTTGCACGCATCCTAGGGGAAGTGACGATCATCCAACAATATAATTTTGTAGCAGCTGTTCATGTTCCTGTAGGTGTAGCAGTGCGGTGCCCCCTTTGCAACTCAATTCCCAACTTGACTGGACATTCTATACAGAAAAGGGAGAATTCCTGCAGGACTCTTCCCCCTGGAGTACCAGGAAGGCTTCAGGCCAGAGGCTGGTGGGGGTATGGGAACAGAGCTCACAGGCCGAAGGAACAGATGGGGGAGGAAAGTGTCCGGTCGTGAGGAATGGACTGACGCAAGAGGCGGTGGGGGCCAGATGTGGGGGACCAGGCGGAAGAGGTATTCGATTTGGTGGCCCAATTGCCCCTTGCCAGATGGACATCTTCCCTTGACCCCCTTCTTTCAGAGCAGCTTTGGGGTCAAATGAGGTGAAACACAGGAAGTCCAACCCACCCCGTCATCGTAACTTATCACGGTAGCACCGTGCCTGCCCACCCTGGCCGCAGTCTGGATGTGCCACTCCTCCGAGCTTGGCTTTTCATTGGCAAGAGAGAGATAATAACCCGTCCATGGAGCATTATAATAATTACATAAGCAAGAAAGCCATAGAAATATACCCAGGAGAATACAATGGCCAGAACTGGGTCCAGGTCAGCCGTGGGGCCTTTCTGCAGCTTTGGGGGAGACTAGGAGGAAGGGGTGTTCCAGAAAGGAGGGACAGCCTAGGGAAGCGCTGGATGTGGAGTCTCCGAAGACACAGAACGGGAACCCGAGAGTACAGCCCTTCTCCCACAGCCAGAGGCAAGCTCAGCCTCCTGGACCCTTCGCTCAAGGACTGGAAAGGAGGTGGTCTATGGGGGAGCCAGGACCCCCGAAATGAAGCTGGGAATTTCCTTCCTTCTCCCTGTTAATTGGAGGTTCCCGTAAACCCACACCTTCCTCCGCGGGCAGAGCGTACATACCAAGTACCTTCATTTCCCTCAACTCCATAAGGGGTGCCGAGTGGGGACCTCCTGGCAAACAATGGCACCCGGACCCCCTCTTAGTGGACCGGCCCCCCCCAGAATCCTATCTTACCCTCCGGGCCACCTGTGCTTCCTTTTCCTCTGTTCTGTGCCCTGCCTCCCGCCTCTGTCCTTCCTTGCGTGGCTCTGCCCTTCCCCTGGCCTCATCTTCACCTTGCTGAGTCACGGGCACCCACGCTCCCCCACCCATCGTCTTGACGCAACCAAAGCTCACTTCGAATCCTAGACCAGAAGGAAGCTTGTGACTGGCTAGTCCAGCCTCCATACACAAGGGGAATTGGCAACGGAAAGTCACCTGGTGCAGGACAAAAGCCCCAAAATAGCCCTGGCGGACCCAGGTTCCCGGGCACATCTTGCCACAAGGGGGCCCCGCCTCAGCTTCTCCATCTACAAAATGGGGGCATTTAGTATGTGCGCTGCCTGCCTTTCAAGGTTTGTTTGTGAGAGAAATGCAAATAGAGTAAGGGATAAGAGAGGTACAGGACAAGCAAAAGCATTGGCAAAGACATAAAATACAATTCCATTTGCGTGATTCCTACCATTTTTATTGTGTGAAATATCCTCAGGGCCTGAGAGCCCACCTTATGCCTCCTCCGGCATCCGGAGGATGGAAAACAGGCTGCGGAGCCCCAGATCCTGGAGTTCAGAGCCCCCTAGTGGCCTGAATGAGGCATTGAAACGGATCCTCCAGAGAGGCCGGCGGCTAAAAGGCTGGGGGCGTCAGGCCGTGCCTGGTGTCGTCCTGGCACCCAGACACCACGTGAGACAAGTAGCTGTGCCCACTCCACATACACCCCGAGGGGACAGCCTGGCCGCAGTCAGGAGCCCCAGCCCTGAGCTCTGCTCCAACAAGGAGCTGAGTGGTCCAGAGCCTCAGGCACCCCTGGGACCCCCCAGCCAGCGTCTGTAGGATACTGCGGGGATGGGGTGCAACTCACTGCCATGCCCCAACCTGGGCAGGAGTTAGTCTTCGGCCAGAGACCAGCTAGTTTCAGCAAAGCGATCTGTCTCCAGGGTGGGCCAGAGAGGGGACACCTCAGATTCTAGTATCACAGCAAGAGGTACTCAAAGCTGGGAGAGGGATCACTGGAGGTCCCTCTCAGGATTGGAGACCTCCAATCCTGAGAAACCCTCCTGAAATCAGGGGACCCTGGGGACCACACTGGGGAGGGGAGATGGGTGGGGCTTTAGTGAAGACCCGCTCGTTTGCAGCTGCGCGGGTACGCGGGTGTATGTGCCGGTGGTGTGGTGCGTGCACTATGTCCCCTTGAACACCTGCGTATCTTCGGGTGCAGACGCGTCTGCTCTAACACTGCCCCCCTGTGCTCTGTTGCAGATGAACCGGCCAATCCAGGTGAAGCCAGCGGACAGCGAGAGCCGAGGAGGTAGTAGCTGCCTGCGCCAGCCCCCTTCACGTGAGGGCCCACTTGTCTCTGCCCCTCCCCCTCCCTCCTTTCCTCCCCTCCCCCCTCCCCTCCCCCTGATGCAGCGTTGCAGCAACTCCCTGCCGCCTCCCCCTGCCCCCTGGGGACCTCATGGCCCAGGGTTGGAACAGGGCTTTGGAGCCCTGGGTGACGGATGTGGGGACAGAGTAAAGAGGATGGGGGAGAATTGGGGTCTGCCGTATGCTGGGGTTCCTTCCTTCCCATGAGTACACAAGTAGGATGTCCTGGGCACCCCACTGCCCCCTTTAAGACACCCAAAAGGGTAGGCCCACCTCTGTGTCACCAAGGCAATCCCCACTGGGATGGGACTGGACTAGTTGAAAGGGTGCCAGGCTGGGAGGGAGGAAATGTGTTTCAGTCCTGCCCTGGGAAGGCTCAGGCCAGAGTGGGTGAATCTGAGGGGGGCTGCCCACTGCGGGGTGGGGCTGCTGAAGTCAAGACCCTGGACCTACATACAGGTGGACAGGCAGATGTCTGGAAGGGGACAGAGCAGGAGGACAGAGCCTCACCCCCAGACTCAGGCCTCTTGCCCCAAGGGGAGGCTCTGTTCCGTCCACCAGCGGGGGCCTCCCCGCCGCTCCCCCACTGCACACAGAGGCTCAACCAGGCCAGGCTCTGGCTCCTCTGCCGAGCGGCCACCCTCCAGGCTTCTGGCCCGGGTGTCCGTGCCCACACCACGCCCCTGGGCTCTCCCTGGCTAGGCCTGGACACTCACTCTCCTCTCAGCTCAACCGGGCGCTGAGGAACTTCTCTCTCCCTCCCCCTCTCCCCCCCTCCCAATTTTCCAGGAAATTAAGAGCAAAAAATAGGCAAAAGCTATTTGCAAATTCAGTCAAGGTTCTTGTCCTGAGGAAACTGTAGTGTGGCCACAGGTGGCCTGCCCACCCCTGGGACCTGTGGTCCCTCCAGCACAGGCCTCTGCCCTCTGGGCCCCAACAGGGCCTCCACCCTGGCACAAGGCCTCTATGGCTCTGGGGCCCTCCTGACCCAGACCTCGAATCCCACCCAACAAACCCAGCTGCCCGAAGGGGCCCCGTGCCCCAGGGCACAGGTGCGCCTCCCTGTGGCCCTCTGAGAGCTCCCCATCCCGAGGACCCCGATCATGGGAGCGGGTTGGTTGAAGAGTAAAAGTGGTTCGGGTGTGAAGGGCTCATGCTGCAGACCGCACCTGGGTCACGCTGCTCGCTCCTGCCCCTCTCCTGGCAGTCCAGTTACTCGGTTTTCTCTGCACACAGAGGCTCCTCAAACACCCAGGGCCAGGCCCCCCGCCCTGGCGGAGAGAGGCGTGCAGTCTGGCCTCACGCAGGTGCCCTCGGTGACACGGGGCAGAGGCAGGGCCTCTCCCAGAGACTGTCTCCAGGAGAAAGGACCAGCAGGACCTGGCCCCCAGGTCACCTGTCAGGCAGTGACTCACCTGCAACGCCCTGTCCGTGTGGCAGGGCCAGGAGGCAGCAGAGACCCCTGGCTCTGGTAGGGAGGGAGCTCGGACGGTAAGTGGCACCTGCGGTCCCAGAGGAGGGGTCCCCGAGATGGGGGCAGCCAGAGACCTCGGAGGACGAGGACGTGGCACTTGAGTTGCTTTGAAGGAGGGAATATTCCACACCTGGAGAAGTCGGGGTGGCATGAAGAAGGCCTAGTTTAATCCAGGATGGGAGCAGGGTGTCGGGAAGCCTGCTGCCAGCGAGGCCGCCCTGCGCTCTAACGCAAACCGTTTCTCCCCTCACTGGCCTTGGAGGCAGCAACTCTCTAACGTCAAGTTGCTAACCTCATCTCCTTTCTCCCATATATCTCCTGCGCTGACACTTGCCCCAAACCAGATTAATCAGCTCTTTTATTCTTCCTGCACTAGAAAGGGGGGAAAAGAGAGCCAAACCTAAACATCTATCTATTAATTGCATATTCAGTATTAAACAAGGAGATGATCCTGAGTAAGCATCATCACCAAGCTATTTGAAAAGAAAAAGAAAGTTTAAAATAATTTAATATCCATTAAATACTTCTTCAGTGGGGGGAGGGGATGGGGGAGAGGTGAACATTAAAAAAGATGAAAGAAATGGGAACAGGAGAAAGGTATGGAAGGCAGGGGTGGGAGTGGAAGGGGCGGGGGAGGAACACGATGGGAAAGGAAGAGCCCAGAAAGGTGAAGGGAAAGGGGCAGAAGGAGGAGGGAGGCCTGGGAGAAAGTGGGTAGAGGGGAAGGTGGCAGGGAGCTGGGAAGATTTGGGGGCACAGCTGGGAGGAGAAAGGAGGGACAGGAAGAGGAAGTGGCCCCAGAGGGAGAGGTGGGTCTGCACCACCCGGGCTCTCCTCATCCCGGATTAGTTAGGTGCTTGGCTGGAGCTCCCCAGGAAGAGTACAGGACGGCAGCTCTTGTTCTGGTCCTGGGTTCTATTCCCATCTTTGTCCAGAATGAGCTCTGAGCTCTGGCGCGGACACTGCTTCTCTGGGCCTCCACCCCCTCGCCCAGGGATGGGAGATCTCGCTGTCCAGGAACGCTGCTGTTTACAGAGCACCCACTGAGGGCTGGGATTTGATTGGATTTGGCCATAGCACGCAGCCTGTGGGACCTCAGTTCCCCAACCAGGGATTGAACCCAGGCCCTCAGCAGTGAGAGCGCAGAGTCTTAAGCACCAGACCGCCGTGGGCCAGGACTTTAAACAAATACGTTTAATCCATACAAAAACGTTGGGAGGTGGAAGTTATTGGCCTCACTTAAAGGTACAAACCAAGGCACAGAAAGGCTAAGTAACTTGTTTCAGGTCACACAGCTAGGTGGTGGCAGAGCCAGAATTCAAAGCCCTGCCTGTCAGTAACCAGCACCCAGGTGCTCTGCATTCCTCTGACTCCTAGGATAGTCTTTCGGACTCAGGGGACAGTGGGAAGGTGCTGCAGGCGTTTGTCATACCTCTAGGGCTATTCTCAAGGTAAATGAGGGGAGAGGAACAGGGTCCCAGGTGAGGGAGTCAGGGCCAGTCTGGACGAGAAGCTCCCAGACGTACCCATAAGACATGAGAGACCAGGACTGCAGGGGTCAGAGAAGAGAGAACCCATTGTGGCCTGGAGCAAGCAAGGAGGGCTTCCTGGAGGAGGTGAAAACTGGACCAAGAGATGTAGACTTGGCAGGAGACAGTGAGGGCCCAAAGTGAAAATGGGACCCTGAACACAAGGCCAAGGGGTTGCACTTGTCTCCATCAGAAGGAGGAGCCACTGACCCCATGGAGGACCAGGCAAAGAGAGGGCATCACAGCTGTAACATCCCTGGGCAGGAAGAGAGGAGACAGCCCCTGATACCACCACCAAGAGCTAGGGCTCCAGCTAGGTGGGGAAAGAAAACCAAAGGAGAAAGAGCTTCCCTAGGACCCATCCCGCTGCAAGGAGAATCCTGTTAACCCCACAGAACTTGCTGGAGCAAGTCATATATCAACTCAGATTCACCCCCAAATAAGCAAGCCAGTTCATTCACAAGGGGAGTGAGGCAGGCTGGGGACAGAGAGGAACCAGGTAGAGGGCACCCTCCCACCTGCCCTGGCCATCTCAGAGGCAAGGACGCTTTCTTGGGCGTGAACTGTTGTGTCCTTTGCCTCCTAGCAGGCAGACACACCCGCCCCAAGAGCTGGTTCACGGTCCCCGTCTGAACTGGGTCTCCACAGCTGCAGGGGCCCTTCAGCCTCTCCGTTTCACTCTCAGCCTCTGGGTGGGTGCCCGCAGTGTGCTGCCCTGTAGCCCTGACCCCCTCCCCATCCTCCCTGGTCTCAGTCCAAATGAGTGCTACAGCTGAAGACAGGATAAGCTCCCCCCCCCGCCCCCCCGCCGCAGGCAAGGCTCCTGCAGCCAGAATGCGGGGGGGCGGGGGGGGGTCCTTTCAGGAAGTCAGGCTCTGAGCAGCCTGGCCTCAGGCAGCAAACCTGCTTGGGGGCTCCCTGGGCTGAACCGGAGGAGGCCGGGGCTGGGGTCCACCACCCCCCCTCAAGGGGCTCAAGGGGGTCAGCAAACAAGTAGGACCCCTTGAGGAGGGAAGGAGTGGCTGAGACCTGGGCCAGTACAGCAGGTGTAGGCCTGGTCCCACCCCACCTCCGCCAGTCCCAGCCACATAGCAGCAGATGTGAGCTGTGCCACGGGAAGCCACACCCCTCTGACCCCATCACCAGAAACCACTCCCACCTCTTCCCAGCAGCCAGCTGCAGGTCAGAAGTTTCAGCTAATGCAGCCTCATCCAGGGCCCAGATGAGGGAGGCACTCACACACCTTTCCCACCAACACGCTGTCCGCTCAGCGCTGACAAAGGCACCCACAGACAGACACCCAATTCCACACTCGTGCCTGGTGAAGTGAAACCGAACGTCCCCACCAGGGATCCAGTGACTGGGGGCGGGGCACAGACTGGGGCCACCCGTTTATATCTCATCTACATGAAATGACAGAACAAAGCAGCAAGATGTCAGGCTGAGGCGCTGGAGAAGTTAGAAACCAAGACGGCTTGGCAGGGAGTCCTGGGAAAGAGGGGACTCAGGGTTCAAGGGGCTGCCCCCTCAGAGGGAGCAGGGAGGCACTGGGGAGCCCTTCCGAGGGAACAGGAGCAAGGGTGAAAGCAGCCCTCCCGGGTGGCCGCCACGCTCTCACCCCTCCAGGGACCCAGACTGGAAACCACATGAGCACAGACACACTCCAGCCTCCAGCAACGTGTGAGACGTGTGAGCCCGAGCTCAGGAAACGGTCGTGCCCACCGTGGGGACCGATGAGGGGCTCCCACGGTCCCTCTCTGGCCCATCAGGCGTGTTTTCCTGGGGGGGCCTTGGTCAGGCCCAGGCTAGGGAGGCAAAGGGGCAGCTGAGACTGAACCTGATATGGGAGCCTGGACGGAGGCCCGATGATCGTGGAAGGAAGGGTGTAGGGTGGACACAGCAGGAAGGCTGAGCTCCGCGTTATAAAGTCCTGTGGTTCCTCCACCCGGGGCGGCAGGGCCTGGAGGA